TACCAAATCCAGTCCTTCCACATAACCAGCCTTGTGTTAAACTGTTTCTCTGCTGCAATACCACAATTTCAGAAAGTTGGTTTTGTTTATGTAGCAAGCATGAAGTACCCATCAGGCAATTATAACCTCCAAACACCACTTCCAGAGTAAGGACATCTGAGTCACATAAAGTCACCCCATTAAGAGAGAGCAATATGTGGTCTTTGGAGATCTGGGAGACAACTCATTAAATGCTCCATACATATTAAGCCAGATGACACACAGCCTGAGCTGACGGTAACTTACCTCATAAGATATAGTCCTGCTTCTCCTCCCAGCACCAGCATTTCAGAAAGATTTTTTTTTCATATCTTTAGTCTGGCAAACATAGCACATGACTTCCACATTTTTTTTTAGATTTTTTTCTTTTTTATTATACTTTGAGTTCTGGGATACATGTGCAGAATGTGCAGGTTTGTTACATAGGTATACATGTGCCATGGTGGTTGGCTGCACCCATCAACCCATCATCTACGTTAGGTATTTCTCCTAATGCTATCCCTCCCTTTGCCACACTCCACAACAGGCCCCAGTGTGTGATGTTCCCCTCTCTGTGCCCATATGTTCTCATTGTTCAACTCCCACTTAGGAGTGAAAACAAGTGGTGTTTGGTTTTCTGTTCCTGTATTAGTTTGCTGAGAATGATGGTTTCCAGCTTCATCCATGTCCCTGCAAAGGACATGAACTCATTCGTTTTTTGGCTGCATAATATTCCATGGTATATATGTGCCACATTTTCTTTATCCAGTCTAACAGTGATGGGCATTTGGGTTGGTTCCAAGTTTGCTATTTTTGTTGGTTCCATTTTTTGCTATTGTGAATAGTGCTGCAATAAACATACGTGTGCATGTGTCTTTATAGTAGAATGATTTATAATCATTTGAGTAAAAACCCAGTAATGAGATTGCTGGGTCAAGTGGTGTTTCTAGTTCTAGATCCTTGAAGCCCTGCCACACTGTCTTTCACAATGGTTGAACTAATTTACACTCCCACCAACAGCATAAGAACGTTCCTATCTCTCCACATCCTCTCCAGCATCTGTTGTTTCCTGACTTTTTTTTTTTTTTTTTTTTTTTTGAGACAGAGTTTCACTCTTGTTGCTCAGGCGGGAGTGCAATGGTGCGATCTCTGCTCACCACAACCTCTGCCTCCCAGGTTCAAGGGATTCTCCTGCCTCAGCCTCCCAAGTAGCTGGAATTACAGGCACACACCATTATGCCCCACTACTTTTTGTATTTTTAGTAGATACAGGGTTTCACCATATTGGTCAAGCTGGTCTCAAACTCCCTACCTCAGGTGATCCACCCACATCAGCCTCCCAAACTGCTGGGATTGGTATGAGTCACCATGCCCGGCCTGTTTCCTGACTTTTTAAGATCACCATTCTAACTGGTGTGAGATGGTATCTCACTGTGGTTTTGATTTGCATTTCTCTAATGACCAGTGATGATGAGCTATTTTTCATAAGTTTGTGGGCCACATAAATGTCTTTTGAAAAGTGGCTGTTCATATCCTTTGCCCACTTTCTGATGGGGTTGTTTTTTTTCTTGTAAATTTTTTTAAGTTCCTTGCAGATTCTGTATATTAGCCCTTTGTCAGATGGATAGATTGCAAAACTTTTCTCCCATTCTCTAGGTTACTTATTTACTCTGATAATAGTTTATTTTGCTTTGCAAAAGCTCTTTAGTTTAATTAGATCCCATTTGTCAATTTTGGCTTTTGTTGCCATTGCTTTTGGTGTTTTAGTCATGAAGTCTTTGCCCATGCCTATGTCCTGAATGGTATTGCCTAGGTTTTCTTCCATGGTTTTTATGGGTTTAGGTCTTACAAACGTAAGATTTAAACAATCTTTAATCCATCTTGAGTCAATTTTTGTATAAGGTGTAATGAAGGGGTCCAGTTTCAGTTTTCTGCACATGGCTAGCCAGTTTTCTCAACACCATTTATTAAATAGGGAATCGTTTCCCCATTGCTTGTTTTTGTCAGGTTTGTCAAAGATCAGTTACTTGTAGACGTATGGTATTACTTCTGAGGCCTCTGTTCTGTTACATTGGTCTATATATCTGTTTTGGTACCAGTACTATGCTATTTTGGTTACTGCAGGCATAGTTTGAAGTCCGGCAGTGTGATGCCTCCAGCTTCGTTCTTTTTGCTCAAGATTGTCTTGGTTATGTGGGCTCTCTCATGATTCCATATGAAGTTTAAAGTGTTTTTTTCCAGTTCTGTGGAGAAGGTCATTGGTAGCCTGATGGGGATAGCATTGAATCTATAAATTACTTTGGGCAGTATGACCATTTTCATATTGATTCTTCCTATCCATGAGCATGGAATGTTTTTCCATTTGTTTGTGTCCTCTCTTATTTTCTTAAGCAGTGGTTTGTAATTCTCCTTGAAGAGATCCTTTACATCCCTTGTTAGTTGTATTCCTAGGTATTTTATTCTCTTTGTAGCAATTGTGAATGGGAGTTCACTCATGACCTGACTCTCTGTCTATTATTGGTGTATACGAATGCTTGTGATTTTTGCACATTGGTTTTTATTCTGAGACTTTGCTGAGATTGCTTGTCAGCTTATGGAGTTTTTGAGCTGAGACTACGGGGTTTTCTAAACATACAGTGATGTCATCTGCACACAGAGATAATTTAACTTCCTCTCTTCCTATTTGAATACTCTTTCTTTGTCTTGCTTGATTGGCCTGGCCAGAACTTCCCATGCTATGTTGAGTAGGAGTGTTGAGAGAGGGCATCCTTGTTCTATGTCGGTTTTCAAAGGGAATGCTTCCAGCTTTTGCCCATTCAGTATGATATTGGCTGGTAACTTCCACATTTTTACTAGTCCACTCACATTGCTAATGTCAACTCCCTCCCACTGTTAAGTACAACACTCCCCCATGTGACAATGCTACTAGAAGACAGGTGTCTGCTACTATAGGAATATATATATATATATAGCTCTAAATATAGGAGCACTCTCACTTTAAACAAATCTAACATAGTTAAATCTGCATTTCCAAGGACATATGCTTATATATATGGACTTGTATATGTGTGTGTGCATCTATATATGGAATAGATTATCTGCTTTGCAAATCACTTAGCCATGGAATTCCTTAAAATACCAGGTCCTTCATTTATCTTTCTCTTCATTGCCTCCCACATAAATGATGTCTTGCACTTTTTACTTATTGATAGCTGCTCCATAATATATCTGTTATTTAATTTAGTATATTGTATTTATAAAGATTCATGGAAAGCAAAATGCATGTCTTTGGAGACTTCTGACTAATTTCTTTAATATCTCAGAAGTATGAGTTTATATTTTGCATAGCCAGGATCTGAAGCCATATCTAGCACCACTATGAACATAAAAATCACATGAATCTTAAATACTTTCCAGAGTTTAACATGATATAACAGTATAACAGCCTTATACAGAAATTAGAGTCTGCAAGAGCCACTGGCTTTGCAAGAGCCTCCATGGATGGAGAGAAGTGAGCTAATGATGTTGTTTTGCGAAGGTTTCTAAGGCAAAAGTTGTCCCTTTCACTCAGGTCAATAGCTTCGGCTAGGGGCAGCTTAAATGGTGAAGTAATTCTGCCTCTGTACACAACAAATGTTAATAGACAAAAATACTAACCACATTTTTGGGAGTGATTAAGGTATTTTTAGTAACAGTGGTTTCTCTAGAATATTTTATCTTTTGCTGTGAAATGCCAACATGATTTTTCTCAGTCTGTAAATGGTAAGCTCAATCATATTTGTTTGTTTGTTTAAACACCAGTTTTGTATGTTATTTGTTTTTCTTTACCCCAGGGGTTTCCTTATCTGTATACACACAGAGATGATAACAGGAACAGAGTGACTCACTCTAGTTTAGAGTAGGTTGCAATTATCTCTCAAAAGCTAACAGTGTCCATAAGCCAACAAGGATTTTATTTCATGCAATTGTTATTAATATTATTCCTTCAGAGGCTCATGCAAGCTAAGAAACTAATAAAAACAAAAATGAAAATAGTAGCTCCACTTTCTAAGTTATATTCTTCTCGAAAAAAAAAAAAAAAAAGTATTCTTTCTCTACTTCCAGAAATCTACTTGTTCAAGGCTCAAAAATTCAGAAGAATCCTGACTTCCTGCCTGCCTCCTGGGTCCCTAGAAATACAAACTTAATGGGAGGGAGGGACCTGGCTCATGGCAACTAAATAAGATTGCTGGGGGTGACAGAGGAAAGAGCACAGGATGAAGAATCAGGAAGGCTGAGATGAGATCTAGACAAACCTTTAATCCTTCTAGGCCTCAGATTATTCATTTATAAAATACAGATGACATCCACATTTTTATTGTGATCATATGAGATAGTAGATTTGAAAATGTTTAGGAAACTATTAGGTACCTCATAATGAATGCAATGCTCTGCTTATTTGTGTGCATTTCATCTCCTATGATGTTATAGAATATTGAGGCTGAAAGTTAAAAAAAAAAAGAGAGAAAAGACTGTATAATAAGGCTAGTTTCAAGAAAGCCTTTTTTTGCCTCTATTTCCCCATCTCTCTTTTACTCTACCTTCTAGAAAAATAACAAAAGTAACAATTGACCTTAACTCTCCATTTTAATCATCACTGAATTTCTGCATTTTTCTGTCACAGTCAATGTCTAAATTAGATAACCTAATTGATTACCTACTGACTGAAAGGGCCTGTATTAAATCATTACCAAAATCATATAATGAAGAAATTTTATGCTTTTAGGGAAGTTCAAAGTTAGAATTGGCACTTTTTCATTTATCATTCATTCAACAAATACTTGTTTAGTGAAAACTTGTGCCAGGCACTAGGGATTTAGAAATAAGGGAAACATATCTTTTTCCCTATAAAGTTCATGATTCAGAGAGGGGAACAGATTTACATTCTCTTATTTTATAGCTTAGAAACCAAAAATACAACAGTTGGGAAAGTTTGACTCTACCTGCAATTCCCCTTCCATTATACTGAGTAGTTGGATGAGGTCTTCTTTGGATAACTCCAGGGATTTCTTAGTCTTTCGTTCACTTTCTCCAGATGTTTTTAGGTGTCGTTTGACAGTTCCTGAGGCCATGACATCATCTTCCTTCCTATTTGATTTCTTCTTCTTTTTTGCATCTTCTGAGAGACTTTTTTCACCAGCATTGCCGATGATGGAAGGCTTGGGACAGGAGATATGCCCATCAGATGAATTTTCACCACCTTGGTTTCGAGATCTCATTCCCACCTACAACATATAAAAAAAAGATAAGATGTTCTTTACCACCATCAAAATTATTTTTGCCTAAATACTTAGAAACTTATAGTAAATTTACCACAACACGAATAAAGAAAAATCAAATGAATATTTCATTAAAATTTTCAGGAAACCCCTTTGATGGCCTTCAGAAAAAATATAAGTAAGATTTTAACCTGACAAACCCCTCAAGCCAAATGATCAAGGTCAATATCAACAGTGCTAAGTCATATTGCTATTACACAGCCACCATAATAATATATCAATATTGGTTCATTAATTGTAACAAATGTTCTATACTATACTAATGGAGAATGTTAATTATAGAGGAAACTGGGTGTGGGGACATATGTGTATTATCTTTTATAATGTTATGAATCTAAAACTGACCTAAAATAAAATAAATAAATAAAAAAGTAAAAGCTGTTCTAAAATAAAATAAAAATAAATAAAATAAAAACTATTTCAAGATAAAATAAACAGTTTCTTTATTTGTCAGAAAATTCAAACCTGAAACCCTGCCAGGAACCAGCTGGATGTCACAGTGTGAAAAAAAAAAAAAGCCCACATAGGGTGGGGGCTTAAAATGGAGAGAGGAAAAGGGAAACGCAAAGGGAAGAGGAGGATGGTGTCACTTTTAGTGATATGCAATTCTATTTTCTCATAGTCTCTATTTTAAAATCAGGTCTTTTAATGACATTTACAGTAATAAGAGCACAAAGAATTGGGAGAAAATGAATCAATTTCAAAATCAAAATTTAAAACAATATTTTGAGGTAAAATAAAAAAGACAAAGCAGTAGCTAAGATATTAACTTGTCCCATGAGAAGCACATTCAAGTAATTCCATGATGAATGCTTTATAGTTTCTCTATCAGTCTTTGAGCAAAAGAATTGTACCAACAGGTATGTTACAAACAAACATACTGAACTCACAGGCTAGGTCTTAAAGTACTGTGAAGAGAGCTCTAATATCCTGGGGGTGTATTACAAAATTTGCCTAAACCCTTAAATATAGTAGATTAGCTCATGAGCTTATTTAAAAACTCACGGTATAAATAGCCCTTACCATGAACAGCTAAGCAACAAGTTTTCATCATTCATTCCAGATAAAATACAGTGACTTTGTTATCTGAAAGTAAATTTCCTTTATGAACCCAACCATACTTGAGAAACTAAGGAAAAATTTTTTAAAAAACATTAAGTTTGTAACACAAAACATAAACATGATGTGATGTTTTCTTTCAGACAGTGAATATCCAATTCTTCAAATGAATCTTGAAATCTACATTAATGCTCTTTTTTGAAAATTAAACTTATAAGCAAATAGACCCTCTTATGTATGTATGAACTTTCTACAGCACCCCAACTTTTAACAATATAAACCAAAGGAATGTTCCCTGATACTAGCACCCTGTTTTCTGGTTCACTCCATGATTAGTTTCCAATTTTAGAGTATCTTTTGTGCTTCTCTAGTGAACAAAGAATAGAAGTTTCTTTGTAATGGAAGCCAGAGCACTTTAGAACAACCCTACTGTATTTTATCACAGCTTATTTGTGGGCAGAATGGGCTGACTTAAGCACCAAGCTAAAAAAAAAAAAGAAGTGATGAATAAAGAGTTTTGAATTTAACTCATGATGTGTTATGGCTTACAACTAAGACACACGGACTTCCCAAATTGAACTATGATTCTGTACGACTTCATACCACATGTGAATTCCTTTTATCTGAAATAATTTTCTCTAAAAGATCTTAAAGCTTTTTGAGACGACATGTAAAATATTGATTTGACAACTTTAATTTAAATCATCAGCTAATAGAAGTCCCAGACAATAGTTCCCAAGGCAAAGGAAGAGCTTAATCATACACAGTACTAATATCTGATTGTATTACGTATTTGTACCTTGTCTCCCTAAAATGTCTATGTCTTTATAGGATCCATAGTATTAGGATATTCCTGAGAAGACAAATGTAATAACTATTCATATGTTACCTGCATTTACTCAATCACAATTATATCTGCAAACATACAGAAAATAAAGTCTATTTAGTATCAACTTTATGTTTAGTTCTTTCTAAAAATGCCAGTCTGAAATTAATGTTTTAAAATAAATTTTATTATAGTATTATATTAATGACTTTTACAGAAAAAAATCCACCCATTTTAGAATTATCTAATTATTTTATATAATTATTCAGGTTAAAAGCTTAAGTTCCCCATTACCTTCTACATTAATTCACTTTAACTGATGGAAAATCTCATGTGATAGACCCATGATGTTAATTTTATCTTAACAAATATTTTTCTTTTGTGATACTGAAATTTCATATTAATTAGTTTTCCTTTGGCATGAGCATATAGATTTTTAGTTCTTTCTTGGTCAGATAAATGAGGTCTTCTATCTACCTTCACAATAAAGTCAGCAATCAGCACCTGTTCTATCTCAGGAATACAGAAGTACTCAGCAATAACAAATGAATCCAGAATGTTTTAGCAAGGAATTAGCATCTATGAGGAAGATAAACATAACTTCTCAATAGAATAACTAAGTCTGTTATTGATAATGCCCACTTTAAAGCGCTTTATTCTATTTTGGAGGGAGAAGACATTAAAGCAATAAAGGACTTGCATGTGTCAAATATGGTGACATTTATACCTTCATATTTTTAATAGCTCTCTTCATATTTTTAATAGCTCTTAAGTGTTACACAGTATAGGAAGCATTTTACATATGGTAACTTGTTTAATATTTATATCAACTCTGTGAAGTAGGTGCTATACTCAGGTTTATAGAAGAAGCTCTGAGGTTTAAATAAATTAAATATCTTTCTCTCGATCACACAGCTACTCCACCTGGATAGAAAAACTAGAATTTGAACTCAGGTCAGACATTAAATACTATCCACTATACAGCTTTCCTCTAAGTTCTTAAATACATGTTAATTGGAAGAGAAGAGATCCCTCATAAATCAGAGGATCAAGAAAAGTTACAGGCCAGACGAAGTGGCTCACGGCCATAATCCCAGCACTTTGGGAGGCTGAGGCAGGTGAACAAGCCTGGCCAACATGGCAAAACCCCGTCTCTACTAAAAATACAAAAATTAGCTAGAAGTGATGGCGTGCTGCTGTAATCCCAGCTACTAGGGAGGCTGAGGCAGAAGAATTGCTTGAACCTGTAAGACAGAGGTTACAGTGAGCTGAGATTGTGCCACTGCACTCCAGCCTGGGCAACAGAGCAAGATTTCGTCTCAAAATAAAAGAAAAAGCTACAAATGCTCACTAAGATGTTTTCTCACTTCACACTACAGAATTTGAGAAATCCATGTATATGTCTTCCTCAATAGACACTCTTGCAACACTCACATAGCAATTTAAATTAGGTTACTGAGCAATAATTCGTTTTCTGAAATAATTAAACCTACTGTAGAACTTCTAAGATGATGAATCATTCAAAAGTCTTCCTGAGAAGCAATCTGGTCAATTATTAAGGGTACAGTTATGAAAACAGGATGTAAAGTCTGAACAGAGACAATTGCAGGCTTATTGTGTTAAAAACCCTGGAGCTGAACAACAGTAAACACTTTGTCAGTGTTGGCCAAATCCTGTCTATTGTGCTTACAAGGGTTGCAGACAGGTAACAGAAAAGGCATCCAGAACTCCTTAGGCTTCTGTATAGCTGATTGCACAACTGCAAGTTTAAGACATGTAGATAACATTTTCTGAAAGAAGCCAAGAATGCCTTTGCATCATCCCAGTGTATATCCTTTTAAAAAAGTTCTTCCCAAGAAAAAGATATAAATAAACTGAAGATTCATATCAGGTTTTATGACCTTTTTTAAAAAAAATCAGCATTAACTGGGGCACAGATGCTTCTCTTTGATAAGCAAATTATCTTAACAGAGTTCATAAAATATACTTACTTTCCATTTCATAGTAGTCAGCAATAATTTGCATGGAATTTGCTAACTAGAGTGTGAAGAAAAGAAAGACCAAATGTTATTCTGAAACTTCCTCTTTTATCTATGGTCCTCTCTCCTTTTTATTCCCCTGCTCCAGACCTTCCAGAGCATACTCTCAGATGAATAATATAACAGGAATCAGAAAATGTAAAGCCTTTTAGTCATTTATGCTGAACTAACAATTATTTCTAGAGCAAGTATTTTTTTGAACAAGAAAAGAAAAAAAGAAAAAAAATGTCTACAGCAATTCTAGCTCCCAGACTTCCTTAGCTCTTAAATCCTGTCCTTGAATTTTCCCTAGCACTCTCACCTTTGCCCTTGCTCCTTTCCAAATTTGTATTTTCCTGTTATGATTCAACATTGCTCAAAATACTCCCCATCCCACCACCAACAAAAACTTCTTTTCTGTATAAATTAGGTTTTGGCATCTTTCCTATGCTTCTCAGGTATCCAACCCCTATCTGCTCCTGGTTTTACTTTATCTATGTGTGTTTTCAAGAACCTACCTAGTGCATAGAATGAGATGCCATAATAATTTTATATATTTAATTTCTATTTTAAATTACTTTATAGAATTATGAGGAAGAATTATCATAGTAGAAAAGGAAAGCACATAATTACAGAAAAGCTGAGATTTTACAATGTGGCCTGGCAAAAGGCCTGCTGCAAGTGGAGCTTCCAGAACATTACCACAGAACTATCCTGACTCTTTCTTACACATAAATGACAATACCCAAATCACCCAAAACTCAAAAAGGAAATATCTGTTCTAGTTTTATGTCATCAGTGAATTTTCACTTGCAAAAGACCAATTAAATCAACTAATTTCTTCCCCATCAATGCCAGATTACTTCCTAAGTGTGTTATCTTATTGGCTAAATCTGCATATAAACATCCCAACTCATAAAATGTTCAAATATTTCTCATTAGGTTATCATGTATTCTATAGTATATATTGCTCAGAAATGTTCCAAGTTTGCCTTTAAATTTTTCTTTCTCCTCTTCATCCTATTTATGCAACAAGTCATGTA